GAACCGGCAAAAATATTGCTAAATAGTGGGGCAACACATGTTCGGGGTATTAAATGAGAGAAGACGTGCGTCCTTTAAAGCATCAGAGACTGTTCAAAGGTTTTTAGAAGATTTTTTGCCAAGAAAGGGATCTTCACCAACTTCCCGGTTACACAAAGATATGCCATCGGAAAGCAGGGGGCTATCTAAATAGGGTAAAATTGGTTTACCTTAAATAATCGAATGGCAACATGACACGTGGAATCGAAAACAGGTAAAAAATAACTTGCGTAGTAACCAGTACGGGGAACAATAGCTGCAAGTGACATCAGGCTGACCCCGAAGGGAGCATGATCAATGTGAGCAGAATCAAATGCTTGCCATCGGGTAGTATCCAATAAAGAATATTCCATGGCATTAAATAAGCAGTCGTTGCAGAGAATATTTGCATTCATGGCTTGCCGTTACATATTCATCAAATGGCCCTCTTTATTATCATTTAAGAGGGGATTGATCCTAGGATCTTGTTTCCCTAGGTATAACTATAAATAGCAGGCTTAATAGTCATTGTAAGACACGAAATATTTGGCAAAACTTATGCTACATTCCATTCTCAAGCTAAATAAAATAATTTGCTTACTGTTTTATATTGTTCGTATTCCTGTCCTCGGAGACATTGCTCCCGGAGCCAGACTTGTCATTTCCTTTGATTTTAATTGCTAAGTCTTATTCTTAATCTAGTCTATTTATCGTTTTTGGATCAAATCAGCTTGTTTGTCAATAAACCACGTAACAAATCCAACTGTATTATTTTACGGGTAAACACTAAGATGATTATTTCTATGTGTGCTTCGATGAAATAAGAAACTGTCGCCCCATCTCGCTTATGATTTGAGTAATAATTGAAAAGGTACCTTTAAAAAAATCAAAAGGTTGTAGTTTTTGAATTCTGGAGAGAGTTTAAAAATTAAGATATATTGGGATTGCTTTATTTTTGTTCATTGTTCGAACTTAGAAGCTCTTCCTTTTCCATTTTTATTTTTGAGAAAGGGACAAAAGAGAACCATTATTTTTTCTTATCTTTGTGTATCCGAAAAATGGTACAGTTAAATTTATACATGATTTCTACACAAGTGAACTAATTTGATCCTGAAATAATACGATAATTGAATAAATACATGATACTTAGCCTTGAGATATGGATGAAAACAGCTGAGATGACAATTTCGGGAACAGTGTTTACGGGCACAACGATGATGAGATCAAAAAGCAAAAAGTAAAATTGGATGAAGCTTTATATAGAATAAAATGTAAGTTTAGCCAGAAAATTCGTGTCATTTACAATGATAACTGGGCTCACTATTTATAGCTATCTCTAGGGAAGGAAGTCCTAAGATCATATCCTCCTTAAATGTTAATTATGAGGGTCATTGATGAATAATTAACGGTGAACATAAATACCAAATTCTCTGTAATGGACTGTCACTCTTAATGCTGCAGAATATTACCTATTAAATGTTACCGGGCGCAGAGCATTTAATACACCTTTATGAACGTTATCCTTTCCGGTGACAAGCGGAATGGCTGCGTTCGGTCTTCGGCGATCCTTGTCTTGGGTTCCACGTGTCCTCCCTTTAGGCGACCACGTGTCATATCATATTTCAGCCTATACAGATAGTCCCCCTGCTTTCCAGTGACATAACTTTATGTTATCGGGAAGTTGGTAGAAACATCTTTTTGGCGGGAATTACTATAACTCCCTCTGAAGGTCCCTGACATTTTATTAGACGTACGTCTCTCCGTATTTAATGCCCCGAACATGCGTCGTCCCATGATTCAACACGGCTTTTACTGATTATCAAGGTAATCATGGCCATGAATTTAGCCGCCAAAAGTTTACTTATACGCCACATTCTTTTCCTTTTCGTTTCATAATTTCTCGAACTCCTGATTTGTATCTTTGCTTTCCATTCTTTCTCTAGTCCTCCTCAAACACAAAACCTTTTCCATCTTCTTTTTTAATGGCTTCTTCCTCTAAACGTGCTAGTTCTACAAAGAACACGAACAAAGCCGAGGACTTTGTTCCTCTAATGGTGGGTTCCATCATCCCAAGAAAACTCGGTACCATAAAAGACCTTGAAGAGAAATTCCCCCTACTGCTAACCCTCGTACATGGGATGTTAGTAAGTACCCTTCTTCCATTCGTCCTTCCAATATTTCTGTTGTGAAGGAAGACTGTCGCTGCCATGAGTTGGATATTATCGCTACTGACCTATTGGTGCCAGTGACCCTTACCAAGGAAGGTTTTACATACTTTTACACGTATCCCTTTACTTTGGGTACGTTTTCTTTGAGTGGAGAGCTCGATTCCATGATTGCAAAGTTTTTGCTTTCGCTACCAAGTGTGTTTGGCACAGCTAAGTCCTTCAGCGTGGAGGACGGTCGCATGTCTTTGACGTTTGTGCCAGGAAACTGGAGAGGAGCTAACCTTAGCTCATATGATGAATCTCTATTCTGCCAAAATCTTCCGCGGGGGAATGATAAACCTCTGCAAGCATGGCCACCATATTTTGCTGTCCAGCATGGATGATGACAATGACCGTGGGTGGATGGAATGGTTCGTTGTAGTTGCCACCAACGACATTATTCCAACAACAATTTCATCCTTTGCGGTCGCTTGGAACCGCACTCGTAAGTTCTTTGTTTTGTATTTCTTTTTACTAGATATTCCTTTGTGGTCGTATCAACTCTTCACCCTTCGCATGTTTCAGCAACTCGATGGATCCCACCGGTGGTGGAAGGTTTGGACCGGTGGGTTCATAAGATCTTGGACATCACAACGCCCGAAACTCATTTATGGAAAGAACTGGCCCTTAAATACGGGTGAAAGGCCAAAAATCATGGTAATTTTAATTTACATTGCTTCCATTTTTCGTATATGAAGTACTTGGTTGAACCCTTCTAACTTATTAATAGAATTAGGTCTACCTGCAGGCTCTGTTGTTGTCCCCGAGGAGGACATTTTGGTTGATCCTGCTGATGCAGCGAGGCTGCTTTAGGAAGCACTTACTCGAACAGGTATCTCCGGACCTGTTTTGGGTGCAAACACTTCTTTACGGAGTCCCCAGCCAGAGGATAAGCAACCAAAGAGAAGACGTTCCTCTGTGGCTGTGGAAAATAATAAGAGGGCAAAGACAGATGCCCCCAAGTCATCTTCGGTGGCAATGATGACTGGTCCTCCTTCTGGGCCGGTCATAGACACCGTGATGATTAATGCTGATAAAGAAGATGTTGATGAGGGAGCTTCATTACACAAAAGGCGACGATCTGCATCATCTCAACAGGATGCTCAACCTGTTGAGATAGTTACACCAACTGAATACGATGTCTCGGCACTTTGGGTAGAATCTGATTTGGTAGAAATGCCAACTCCCATTTTCGGGCCCCAATTGCTATAGCCGGTGCTGCGGGGTTGAGTACCGGGTCCTTTCCGTCTTTGGTTGGCGAGCATCCATCAGCTGGCACTGCATTTAATGCAGCTGCTTCTCATTTTTCAACTCCATCAACTTCATCTCCACTTTCACCAACACCAGCAACTGCTACATCACTTCCATCTTCATCCACTCTTCCACCAGCAGTTGCTACATCACCTCCATCGGCCGCACCTGACCATGAAGAAGGTGTTCCTCTTCCACAGTCCCTAGTTCATGGGAATTTGGGGCAAAATTACGCTGCCCCTTCTTAGGATCCACAAAGGAGGAGGAACGTTACTTTTTCAAGTCTCTACCAGATGCAACTTGCTATCCCGGTAGGTGGAGCTTGCTAACTATTCAGGCACTCTCGGGAGAGTGCTTGTTGAACAATGCCATGCATAACGTCGTAGCGGTACGTTCTTTTCTTACTTCATTACTTCTTCTACTTTTGTATGAATGTATTCTAAGTTTTACTTCTTCTTGTCTTGTAGGCCAACTTTCTTGCTTCTGAGGGCCTTCAAAGGTTGATTCGCAAAAAGGAAGAACTTACTTCTGAACAGAATCAGCTTTCGGTAGAACGAGACCAAACTGCTCTCCGCCTCTCAAAACTAGAAACCAAAGCTACTGAGGTCGTTATTTTGGAGGCTCGTTTGCAGCAAAGCAAGCAATAAGTGGTAACTCTTCGCCAAGAAGTTGGGCCGCTAAGGGTTAGATTTGATGAAGCCAAGGCCAAATGGGTTGAAGTCCAGGACGTCATTCTTGCTGCAACCGAGTGCGAGGCTGCTGCTACAGAAAAAGTAACCAACTTAAAAGCAACCTTGAACTCCAAAATTGAAGAGCTTGCTGCTGTGGGGGCGAAACACACCCAACTGAAAGAGAAGTACAGGATAACTATCAAGCTCAACAGGCTGTTTAGTTCAACTGCTCGCGACCTTAACGTCAGCCTCAAGTGTACTAGGTCCGCTCGGGAAAGCCTTTCTGCCGAGGTTTCCCAACTCAAAGAAGAACTTAAGCGTCGAGCGACTTCTCTCGTTGTTGAAAAAACTTATGCCATGTACAGTATGAGGAGAAAAACCTTGGAAGAGGCCAAAGTTGGTATCATTGATGTTGATGCCGAAATTGCTAAGGCCCGAGAGCTTGAGTTGGCTGCAAAAAAGGGACTCCCGGCGCAGTCTGATGCTCCAGGTTCTTCTGATTCTGGTTCCGAGTTTTCGGAAACTGAATAGGGATTGGAAGGCGGTGATGCTGAAGACCAAACTGGGGAAACATTGAGCCATCGGTGGAAACACCTAGTTTTCCCGGGGATGCGGATACTTATCTTCCTCCTGGTTCCGTAGGCGCTGCAGTTTAGATTTTTCTTTCTTTTCCCATTTTGTGCTTTTACCGTTTTGGCCCGTTCTTGTAAGTAAAGACATATTTTTGCTCAAGTATATTTTGAGTCTTATTAGACATATTTTTGCTCAAGTATCGTTTGAGTCTTACTTTTGTTTGAATATCCATGCAAGTCTTTAACTTTTGCACTTGCTCAAGCATTCTGCGCATGTTGCTCTATTCGCGCTTTACTATATGTAGTACAAGGAGTATAATTTCCCCTGACATCCGCTCAATTGCATTATTAAAACCGGTTAGGGTGATGCAGCGCGACACTATCTTGTCCTCGAGTCTCATTTCGATGGGGACTCGGGGATGGATAATGCACGCTCTACTTCCATCGTCCACCATGATATGTTTGACATCAGTATCTAAAATGCATAAAGTAATGATGAGGGCATTATTATGAAGGAAAGTCAAATCGTCGGCATCTGACTCATCAAAGATGATACTTTCTTCGAGTCTGTCATACCGTTTGTGGGTGATAGACCGTTTGAGCTTGTGAGTGGTGGTGAACTTCACACCGTTGAAAAAGGCATCATCTCCACCGCCGATGATCATGTTGATAGTACGAGTTAGTGATGGCGGCTTCGGCGGGCCTTGGTGTTCACGTCCTCTGGCAAAGTTATTTCTCCCCTTGTCTCTTAACATCTCTTTAAGGTGTCCCTGCCGCAACATGTTTACGACTTCTTGTCTGAGGGCGATGCAATCTTCTATTTTGTGCCCACTTTCCTAGTGGAACTCACAGAGGGCGTCGGATTTTCTGGTGTTCGGATCGGATCTCATCTTTGGCGGCCACTTTACCTTTGTTCTTAATTTCTCAAGAGCATAGACTATTTTTGTAGGTGACACACAAATATTGTGAGCAAATAATAAAGGGGGCGTACCTCTCTCGTTCTGATGAGTCCCTGTCCTTAGCCTAGATGGTCCTTCTTGATAGTAGAGGGAAGGTGCGGCGGCCGCCCTGATGTATGGCTGGTGTCATTCCCTGTTGGGTCGTTAGACCGTGTAATCCCTCCTGATGTTGTCTTTTCGTTCTTTTTTGGATTTGGTTTGTATCGAGATTAGCTGATGAGTTGGTCTGTTAAGGTCGTCCTCGTCTGCTTGGACCTCGGCACAATAAGCATTATGGATTTCGTCCCAAGTGGTTAGAGGATATTTCATCAATCGGCTCAACAGTTTTCTAGTCGCTCTTGAACCATCTCTACTCAACCCGTTCTGGAAAGCTGCGACCACCATCCCTTCGGACACATTCGGCAGAGTCATTCTTACTCTGTTGAATCGGGTGAGGAAGTCCCTCAGTCCCTCTCCTAAGGAATGCTTGATAGTGAATATATCATTTACTCTTGGTTCGGCCTTCTTGGATCCGGCATGGGCGGTTACGAACTTATTAGTCATTTCCTCGAAAGTTTCTATGGAGCGGGCTGGTAGCTGTGAGTACCATGTTAATGCCCCTCTCGTAAGGGTTTCGTCAAACTTCCTCAGCAAAATAGAGGACAACTGTTCCTTGGTAAGGTTATTGCCTTTCACGGCGGTGACGTAATGGGTCACATGATCATCGATCGATCGTTCCATCATATATCCTGAGGTAGGGCAGCATTTTGAAGGTCTTTGTTATGACACGCGAGGCTGCTTCATCGCTGTATGGCTACTCTACGAACCTGCTGGCGTCCCTTTTTGGCAACAACTTAGGAGCGCCCGGTATCATGTCGACTCATTCTTGGTGTTCTTTTATTTGGTCTTGGAGTGCTTTGTTTTCATTCTCCATTTATTCCATCCTCTTTAGAACGGCATCAAGGGCATTATCGCCTGTATTATTAGTAATATTGTGAGTTATACATGTTATCGGAGGGTTTGTTTGGTTGCACTACTCATCTGCTCATTGTGTCATGCAAGCTCTTGCAGTTTCTGTAGTCGTGCCTGGAGCAGGCTTGTTAAGCATGCTCACTAGTGTGTCGGTCATCCATGCTATGAGGAGCTTTTTCACAGCTGGCAGCATCCCTTCTTCTACGGATGTGGAGGCCCCTTTTCCATTGGGTTTTGTTATACTACAATGGGGGAAGCAACCTCTCGCGCCTAGGGGAAGCGTTGGGCGTCACGTCCTCACCTACTATTTTGCAACTCTCGTTGATAGCGTTCATGAGGTTGCTAGGGAAATTACTTGTTATTTTTGTCCTTTCTCCTTGGTTACCTGCCATGTAGGTTTTTGTACATACAAAGAAAACAATTTTGGGGTTTGTGAGGTTAGTGACTTACGTTAGCTGTAGATCTAAAGGAAACAAAAAATTTAACTAAGAAATCCCCATAGACGGTGCCAAATTATTTGACCAAAAATATAGATCTTGGTTCAACTAATTAAATTTATACAAATGAGGGTTAATCTTAGTTAATAATAATATCCTAAAGATGAAATTCTCGACATTGTGATAAATAGCACGTAGATCTATTCCAAAAGCTATGACAGTAAACAATATTTAATATTTAAGAACCCAAACAGAAGCAATATAGCATTAAATAGTGATGAATAGCAATAAATGATATTTATGTAAATAGAACAATGAGTCACCCAAGAAAGGATAAAATCAATGGGTGTTCTTATGATAATGATGAATGATGGACAAGCCTTTGAATATCCGAGTTATTATCAGATCCAGTGAAAAAGTGTGGACAAGAATCTTAGTGAAAAGGTTATTTTTGTAGGCTTGTAATAAGACCAGATTCTCTCTTTAAAGTCAAAGTATATTTTACGAATGAATATCTTATGTACCTTCCTTTGTCGTTTGCTTGTTTACGACTTCTACTCTTTCTATTATCGTTTTCATCTAGTTGGTCGTAGCCCTGTTGACAGTTATTTGTGGGCCATGTCTGACTTTTGTTTATGTATGTTGGGTGTTCCTCTTTATTTAGAATAGGCTGATAGGTGTTATTTGAACTTGGTTGATTTCGGTCTTTTGCCAAGTCGTGGTCGAGGGTCGAGGGGTGTTGTTCGAGTTGGGTCAAACTTTACCCTTTATTAAGTTGTGGTTGAGGGTCGATCGGTGTTGTTCGAGCGTGGTCGACCGTAACTTAGTATTAAATCGTGGCCGAGGGCCGATAGGTGTTGTTCGAGCGTGGTCGACCGTAACTTAGTATTAAATCGTGGCCGAGGGCCGATAGGTGTTGTTCGAGCATGGTCGAACATATCCTAGTATTAAATCGTGGCCAAGGGACGATAGGTATTGTTCGAGTGTGGTCAAACATAACCTAGCATTAAATCATGGTTGAGGGCCGATAGGTGTTGTTCGAGCGTGCTCGAACATATCCTAGTATTAAATCGTGGCCAAGGGCCGATAGGTGTTGTTCGAGCGTGGTCGAACATAACCTAGCATTAAATCGTGGCCGAGGGCCGGTAGGTATTGTTCGAGCGTGCTCGAACATATCCTAGTATTAAATCGTGGCCAAGGGCCGATAGGTGTTGTTCGAGCGTGGTCGAACGTAACCTAGCATTAAATCGTGGCCGAGGGCCGGTAGGTATTGTTCGAGCGTGGTCGAACGTAACCTAACATTAAATCGTGGCTGAGGGCCGATAGGTGTTGTTCGAGCATGGTCGAACATATCCTTAACAAAAAAAGGTGTCCTGATAAATGTATGTCTTTTATTACTTCGACGTTGTTGCTTTGGTTACATACTTGGAGAGAGTTACAGATTTTGGGTATTGGCTGGCGTTCCAGTCCCAGTAATAACAAAGCAACAATGTCGAAGTAATAAAAAACTTACGTTTATCAAGCCCTTTTTTGTGTTAAGATTACGTTCGACCATGCTCGAACAACACCGATCGGCCCTCAGCCACAACTTAATAAAGGGTAAAGTTCGACCCAAATCGAACAACACCCCTCGACCCTCGACCACGACTTGGCAAAAGACCGAATCAGCAAAGTTCAAACAACACCTATCAGCCTAATCTAAATAAAGAAGCACACCCGACTTATATAAATAAAAGGTAGACACGACCCGCAAATAACCGTCAACATGGCTACGACCAACTAGATAACAACGATAATAGAAAGAGCAAAAGTCCTAAACAAGCAAACGATAAAGAAAGGTACATGAGATATTCATTTGTAAAATATACTTTGACTTTAAAAAGTGAATCTGGTCTTATTATAAGTCTACAAAAATAACCTTTTTACTAAGATTCTTGTCCACACTTTTTCACTGGATCCGAGAATAACTCGGATATTCAAAAGCTTGTCCATCATTTATCATTGTCAGAAAGAACATCCATTGATTTTATCCTTTCTCGGGTGACTCATTCGTTCTATTTACATAAATGTCATTTATTGCTATTCATCACTATTTAATGTTATATTGCTTCTGTTTGGGTTCTTAAATATTAAATACTAGAAGTCGTACCCGCACGATGTGCGGTTAATATTAATTAAATTAAATTATGATCGGACTTATTTGAACATATTAGATCGTATTGCTTTAATAAATTTCAATTTCATCTTATTTGTCAATATGATATACCCAATAATAAAACCTTTTTGTCTGCACGCTTTCTTTTTGTAATATAAGAGAAGATATATATGTAGACAATAAATTTGTGTTGAGAAAATAAAATTAAGTCCGAAAAATATTGTAACAATCGTAGTATTTGATTTCAAATAATATGAGTGTACAATCTCTATGAATCCTTTGATTCTTCTTTCCCAATATAAATTCAAGGGCCTTTCACTTGATCTTGAATTTGAATTTGATTTATCCATCGCGAACGCTTTGATTGTTGCCACGAATTTCATCACGAACAAGTAGCCTTGATTTTGAACGCCTTGTATTTGATTTCACTTCGTTCTTGATCTTGAATGCTTGAACACTTGCAGTTTGCAGAAAATTATGGCCTTTGATCCACGAGCTCCCTTGTGTCTTCTTGTCATAACTTCTGGTCTTTTTCTGAGTTATGAAGACCTCTATTTATAGTTGTGGGAGGGAAGAGTTATGATAAGAACAAACTCTTTCCAACCAATCAAATTGAAGTGTGACAAGACCGCATTTGATTGGCCAGAATATGTCACTTGCACACGTGGCGTGATTTCATTGGCCTTTTAATGTGATTTGGCAAGCCTTGTCATTTTGACACGTGGCATGATCCTATTGGCTCTTCCGTTTGATTTGGCGTGTCACATCATTTGACATGTGGCACCAAACTGGGCCTCCAGGAGGATGACATTTTGGGCTTAATAAAGTGGGCTCATCACTTTAGCCCAATTAATTGGACTAGCCCAATGGATTAAGACTTATTTATTTAATCTATTTATATTGGACTTATACAATTAATTTAATTATATTAGCCCATAGTATTTATTTGGACCAATATATCTTGAATTTAAAATATAATCCAAATTATTTTATGAATTTAATTTTAATAAAATTTGTATGCCTACAAATGCCCCTACTTCAAGACTTATTGGGATTGTCAATATAATGACTAGGCTTGAAGTATTAACAAAGGTCATTAGTGCCTTTCTTCTTGCAAATGATTTCATGAATTTACTTATCCATGCCTCCTTCAAACGTAACTTGAGGTAAGTCATTCTGTCTAATTAGGTAAAGAACTTATGAATAGACCATAACTCTAATTTAAGAAATAACACATCAAATTTTGAATAAAATAATTTAATTGTCATAATTCCTTTTGC